CCAGAAGCGGTTCTGCCCTCCAGAGCGGCGGGCTGTTGGGAGCTATGCGGTCCGGGGAGCTTTTTAGGTTTTAGCAAAGCTCTCAATAAGGAAGGGAATGCCATGTACTAACCAGGTTTTGTTCTTTCAGATTTTGCCTGTGGCTCACACGAAAATACATCCCGATCAGGTATCGTGTGCCGTTTCTTCTCTTGTTTCTCGCGTCCCTGCCAGCGCGCGTAACAGCCTAATATAGCACCCACACTTCAAGTTCCCAGCTTTCAAAAAGCCTAAACCACTAAGTAACATGAAAGCCAACAAAAATTTCCCCTGGGGGGAGGAGCTGTTGAACTTGGGGCAAAAAACCTGAATAGTGAAGATCTGTGTAATCTGCAGAAGTTGTGCTACAAAGCCTGAATGAGCTATGTGTTGTAGGCCATAGATTTTGTCCAGTTACTCTTGTATGAAAAATGAATTGCACCTCTGACCAAAATACCTTTCAGAAGGCATCTGCCCTTTTCGGTAATACATCATCACTTAGAGAAGCCACTTATATAGTGCAAGCTGAATCCTGGTTTTAAAATCAGATTAATAATAAATGTAGTCAGAATAAGCAAAGGTGGAAAAAGAAGACTACAGAAAGTAAACTAATTCTGAAATAAACAGGAATGTTAGGACACATAAATTAATGATTTGAGAAAGTTCACAGGGTTGGTTTTTTTTTAATTGAGATTTATTTTTCTGTTCTTAAAAACAGATGCAAATATTTTCCCTCATTTAATTTAGGAAACTGGTATGATCCATTACATGGCAAATATGCCACATTATTCTATTTAAGCCATTGTGGCAGTACCTGCAAAATTTGCTGTGGTTAAGCCCTTCCCTTCCTCATTGTTAACAAACATCACATGAAAACATGTGTGATGCTCCTACTCCAGAAGTCAGTGCTCGTAAAATAAAAGAGGCGTTTTGTGGCCAGCCCTCCTTTGGAATGCATTATCACAGTAACGGTGATGGGAGTGCATAAATGAATGAACAGAGGATGGGGAAGCCCTTTTACGGATTGAAGAAATGTGTTGGTATATTCCATGCCACTAACTACACATTTCAGTGTACTTACAAGTGTCTAGTAATCCGCATGGTAGTAAAAAGATGGTTGGTATACCATGGTATACCTTGGTATTCTTGGCAGGCATTTTCAAAAAATCTGTGTGACTGCATGTCCTTCCTCATTTGCAGATATTGCTAATAATTTCACAATGTAACATTTAACTTCCTTTTCTCTGTCTCTGGGTATCACTTTCTGTTTCAGAAACTAGGTGAAAGTGTTCAGCAACTTCTTCTAGCGAAAATTGCAGTCTACTTGATGACCTTCTTAATAGTCACAGTGGCATGGGCAGCTCATGTAAGGTAGGAACACAGTGTTTAACTCGAAAGTTAAAGATAAAACTTTTGTTTAAAAGGACAGGAGGTAACCTTGTGCCTGATACATTCCTGGCTTGCTGACGTATTTCTGAATTGTCTTTTGTCGGATAATACAAAAAATTAGTTGTAAAGAAATGTTACCCTAAGCAGTGAATAACTGTATTCTTACACCACTGACACAGTGATACAAAGAACAACCATTATATGTCTTTTAAATTAGAGTTACTCTTAATTTTACTTCATATTCCACGTGGAATTAAACTTCTGATTATGCTGAAAAAGTATGACTGTGTAACTTGAGTGCTACACAAACAGAGGAACTGATACAGTACAGCTGGCCTAAAACTTGTCTGTCTCAGTCCTCAGCAGTGCTTCTCACAAAATCAATTGTAATGTTGCAGATGCTGCATTTTACAGAGTTGTGGACACTGCCACCTGCCCCATGTCTTGGTAGTTAAAAAGAAATTGACATGCAGGAATCATAGGGCAATTGGCAGTTTTGTTTGAATTTTGGAATTTACAAATGCATTCTCATAGAGGTGTGCAACCTGCAGTTCCATACTCAAAGCTGATACCTCACATCAGTGGTTTTATCGCATTGCCTTGCTTTGCTTGCAGAAGTAAATGCTGAGGCATGGTCTTTCAATAGTTTAGGGCTTTGTGGAGGGTGATTGGTTCTTTTGGTTCTAAGTGACGCTTCTGTGGATCAGGAATTTCATTAACAAGGTGTGGGGCAGTTTGGAAGAAAAGTTTATTTTCTTTACGTAATAACTATGCTGTATCTTGAGGAGAAATTATTTTAAGCCTTAAAATGCTGAAAATATGCTAGCCCCCATAGCACAAACTTGCCTCTGTTCTCCCAAGTAAAACTTGGAGATCAGAATAATAGCTCTTCACAATGGCATGTGAGACAAAGAAAAATCTGAGCCTCGGGACGAACTCTGAATATCTGGTTCTGCTCTGGAAGATCTGCATAGTGCTACTGCAAGGCTCAGATCCTTACACAGTGTTGCTTCGTCTCAGAAGCTAAAAGTCAGTGTGGTGCCTGTACTTTCATTTTGGCATCAGAGGACCAAATGGACTTGTCCGTGTTCTTGTGTGAGCAGTAGACAGTGCCTGCTTGTGAAAGTCTACTTTTGTTCATGCTTGAGAAGCATTTGCTTGAACAGTGAGTACAGGCTGTGAGTCTTCAGTTAGCTCTGGGCCTTGCTTGTGTTTAAGTAAATAGGTGATTAATTGACAGTTAGTGATAATTGTCCTGTGGCTCCCAAGCCTTGTGCAGCTCACTAGCAGTTTGCTGACTGTCCCAGGGTGTCAGGTGGCAAAAGATAGAGCTGTTCTGGAACAAAACAAATCACTGGCCTGCCCTGTGACTTGGCTGTATTTCATCCTACAGTCGAGTGGCAAGTCCTCTGGAGAATCATTGTCAACTCCTGCTTCCAAATCACCCCCATATCTTCCATTTTCCAAGGAATGATAGCCATTTGTAGCTCACTGCCTTGTTAGGTTTCTGGTGTGTGACTCGATGGGTCAGAACTGACGTCTGGATTGCTTCCTCACAGACAAATTGGCTCTTAACAATGGTGAAATTTACTTCCAAGTAAATACATAATTTCAGGTGTAGAGGAATGATAAGAGTAGGGAAGAAAAAAAAAAAAAAGCCAGTTTGCTACATCATATGCCACTTGTCCTTCATATAGAGATGAGGTTGTTAATAACTGCTCCATGATTGAACTTGACTGTTCATATCTTGCTTTTCAGATTTTTCTAACAAATTACTTCCATGTTTGAGCTAGTGAATTTTGGTAGCACCTGGAGTACTTGTATAAATTCTGGAGCAAAGGAAGTCAGGTTCCCCTATAATATCATAAGTGTACAATTTGTATACAGTGTTGTAAAACAAACTTTGGGAGCTGGCTTGTTCATGATATCTTGCTTTGCCTTGACAGGTTGTTTCAGGTGATAGAGCTTATAGATGATGTCCTCGCTCTTCTAAATCTGGTAAGTTTTGTCAGACACGCAGGATGTTTAACTAACAAGTACAGGTCACTTTTTCTTATCTACATATCCAAAAGTTTCTAATTTGAATAGCACAACACTGCCAGATTTCTAAGTCAGGAAGGTACAAAGAGCTTTAATTCCTCCTTGCCAAAGTGGGTGATTGATAACTGACTTGCTTTTAACTTGCACGTGTTTTACTATAAGCCAAAAGAAGCTCTGCAACAAGTTAGTCTGAAGTTCAACTGAAGGAACTGAAGAGGCACCTATGGCAAAAGCTTTTGACTCCCTTCACCTGTGTCCAGCTGAAGCATCTCTCCTCCAGGCTGTATTGGGTTTGTGTAGCAAGGTCTTGGTAATGGGGGTCTACAGGGGTGGCTTCTGTGAGAAGCTGCTAGGAGTTTTCCCTGTGTCCACCGCTGGCCAAGGCCAAGCTAATCAGTAACAGTGGTAGCACTTCTGTGAGAACATATTTAAGAAGAAAAAAAAAACCAACCAGCTGCAGCTCAGTAGCTGGGGAGAGAAGAGAAGCGAGAGGATGTGAGAGAAAACAGCCCTGCAGACACCAAGTCCAGCGAAGAAGAAGGGGGAGGAGGTGCTCCAGGCGCCAGAGCAGAGATTTCCCTGCAGCCTGTGGTGAAGACCATGGTGAGGCAGGCTGTCCCCCTGCAGCCCATGGAGGTCCACGGTGGAGCAGATCTCCACCTGTAGCCTGTGGAGGACCCCCACGCTGGAGCAGGTGGATGCCTGAAGGAAGGAGTCTGTGACTCTATGGGAAGCCTGCGCCAGATCAGGTTCCTGGCAAGACTTTGTGGACCTGTGGGGGGAGGAGCCCAGGCTGAAGCAGGTTTGCTGGCAGGGATGGTGATCCCACGGGGGACCCATGCTGGAGCAGTCTGCTCCTGAGGGACTGCACCCCGTGGGAGGGATGGACCCATGCTGGAGCAGTTTGTGAAGAACTGCAGCCTGTGGAAGGGACACACGCTGGAGAAGTTTGTGGAGGACTGTATCCTGTGAGAGGGACCCCACGCTGGCGCAGGGGAAGAGTCCTCTCCTTAGGAAGAAGAAGCGGCAGAGACAATGTGTGATGAACTGGCCCCAACCCCCATTCCTGTGCCTCTGCGCTGCTGAGGGGAAGTAGGTAGAGAAACTGGGAGTGAAGTTGAGCCCAAGAAGAAGGGAGGGGTGGGGGGAAGGGGTTTTAAGATTCAGCAGTTTTTATCCTCTCCTTCTTCGATTTTGATTGATAATACCTTATCTTGACCCACAAGCCCTTTGATCTCCTCTGTCCGATTAAAAGAGGGGAGTGATGGAACGGCTTTGGTGGGCCCCTGGCGTCCAGCCAGGGTCAAACCACCACACAGGCTTAAGAAAATCAAATGCTATGTCTTTTGTGGCAAAAAATCTTAGTGGTAGGTTCAAATTACAGTTACATTTTTAGTCATTTCTCTGTTTGAGTTGCTCAGAAATTCATTCTGAAGCTTATTTGAAACAGAGGGTTATATGCTTTTTCAAAAACTAGCACTGAAAGACCAATCTCTGAATCAGTTTTGAGCTTTACACTTGCCTAAATCTTATCTCTCAAAAAGTCTTCATTTATTTGACTATGTTTTTTAATGAATCACCCTATAATATTTTGGTTATGAATAGTTGTAATGGGATGCTGCAATGGTGAACATATTCTTGCTTTCATCTAGAGCTTTGTATTTTACTGTATTGTTTATATAATTTACTGTATTATTGTTTATTATTGTTTACTGTTCTCTGACAGTGTGAAACACAGTTAATTTAATTTTGTTAATAAAAATACTGAGTTTAAACTCCATGACATAACACTACAGGAAAGGCGTGTAATTCTTACTTAATGTAGCTTTCAAAGCAATGCATTTCTTTGCGCTTGAGGTTTTTTTTTTTTTTTTATTCGGCTTTTTAATATATGAAATATTTGTGATCATAGATTAACAGTGTTTACAAATCAGGAACACCTCTTATGAGGTGTGGTGCTTTTGGCATTGCTACTTTAGAAAGGAGTCTATTAAGAACCATAGCAAAACATTTACCCATGGTAACAAAACCAGTGTTTTCTAAAATAAGCTTGTACAGTTTGGAGAGCAAACGTGGAAGATGTGTACAGAACTAGCCATTTGTTGCCGTCAGAGCTCAGCAACTTCAGAAATGTGGGTTTTTTCGTAATGCAGCATGAGCATTTGATCTGTTTGTGTTGCATTCTCTAGACAAATCTTTAATGAGGGAACTGCTTGCTTTATATTTTACCTAGTGTTTCAGTACACTTTTTTTCTTTTTTAGGCTTGTATGATGATCATAACTTTCTTGCCGTACACAGTAAGTACTTTTCTAAAATTTGACATATGTTTAAATTGTATGGTTTTTTTCTTTAATTATTTGGAAAGACTTTACCAAAGTATTCAGAAACCCAGGAAAGTGTTGTTACAGTGTAAATCCTGAATCCCTTGTAATAGTTAAGCCTTACTTCTTTAAAATTCATGAGGATGTGTTATAACCTTCAATTACTGCATGTTACAGACCTAGCAGAAAACGGGTATTCTTGAAGCAAAATTATAATCATGGAAAATTATAGTTTCCCATGCTTTCTTTTAAAAAAGCGGCTGTATTGAAAAATGTCAGAGTTGCCTGATGAAAATTTTGCATCTTGTAAGGGAAGTAAAGCTTTGTTTCAAACTCCTCTTCAGATGACAGAACATTTTCCTTTTAATCTAGACAGAGTTTTTGCTATTACTTTTGACTTATTCAGCAAGGTTGATTCTGGCAGCCAATCATTCATTTTTTAAATCTGCAGATTTAATGTTCTGCCCAATTTCTGGACATGTGACCTTTAGACCTAGCAAGAGTATTTGCAACTGAACACCATACTAGCAGAACAAAACAGTTGCTTAAAATGTATCTTGACTTTTATTGTGTGTATTTGTATGACAGGCACCTGTTTTTCTGTGGAGGAATCCGTGATATATATTAGTCTGCAAAGAATAAGGCTGTGGTCAGTAAAACAGTCTTTATGAGCAAGAGCACATATTTTACTTTGCCTTGAACCTGAAATAATTTTTGGAAAGTTGTCAATGTTAGCCTAATACTATTCCCTGCTTTCCCCTCCCGCCCCAATGAAGCTGCAGAAATTAATACAACAGGGATCCATGGAGATAGAGAAATTAAAAGATTCAAAAAGGTATCCTAATGTCAAGAATTTTCACAGCTATGAACATCTTGTCCACCAAAACCGGTTAAACTTTATGCTCAACTATAAGCCAGTCTGTAGTTAATATGGAGACACAGTGTCAGAGAGGTTAAGGTTTTGCAGTATCACCATGAGAGCAAAGCCATCTCTCCAGATGCCTTTGGTTGGGATGTCTGCATGTGTTTGTGGCTAGAAATTGCATTTAGTAGAATTATGTTGAAATGCAAAGTATTATTTAGGTTTTTGAGTTTCAGTAATGAATGAAGAGTGCTTCTGTTTCTCTACTGTGTTTCCTACGTTGTTTCTTAATTAAGTATTTGATCTACATGCATTTTTTTCTAGTTTTCCTTAATGGCCTCCTTTCCAGAGGTACCTTTTGGCATTTTCCTGTTCAGTGTCTGTGCTGTTGTCATTGGCCTTATACAGGTATTGGAGCTATCCATTTACATTTTCACTTTTAAATAGACTTTCTTGGGTAGAACTAAAATTATGTTTCTTCAATGTGGGTATAAATTGCTAAATATCTTTTTTGTTTGTATAGCATTCTTTTTCAATGTTGTGCCTGCTATGATAATATAGTATCTGTACATAGGATGAAAGTTTGCATTGCCACTGTCTTGTGAAGCTGATTTATGCAACTAGATCAGCTGATCTCAAAGTCCACAGAATAGTAATTCCTTTCCCGCTCTTTAAAAATGGTTTGGGGAAATAGCAGTTGACTTTTTCTGCTGAGGTTTATACTGAGCCATGCAGCGATGGCTGAGTGAACATGGGCTTTCAGCCTCAGTCCAATGGCACTGGTTTTCTCCTGGTGCAGTGCCTTGTTGCTTTCTGTTCCTTATTGTGGAGGTCTTCATTCCTCTTCATATAAGATGGTCATGACAAGCTCTGCAGAAACAACTAAAATCTTGATATGCAAGTGTATTGTGAAATCTCAGCGTATCTTAGACAAGTCCTCCATATGGGAGTGAAGAATAAGGTTGGAAGCATTTTGGAATTGTTGATTTATAGCTTTGCAGTTTTATATTTTAAATGCTGCATACACTTGTGTGTAATAACTTCAGTAATGCTCTTCTCCTTGCAGGCTGTGATAGTAGCATATGGATTCTATCACCCACACTTACTGAATCAACAGATACAGGTGTCTGAGAATCAGAATTTCTATAAACATCATATCTTAAAGATTATCCTAAGAGGACCAATTTTATGCTTTTTAGCAGCCATCTTTTCTTTTTTCTTTATTCCTTTGGTAAGTTCTCCCAGTTCACTGAAAACTTTGATGCAGCAGTTTATATTAGTTGTATTTAGGAGTGTGTATTGAAATAATGATGTTTGTGTTAAATACGCAGACTCTCTCAGTTGCCAGTTCTGTGGTGGTGTAATCGTGGCTGCTATTTTGCATTGAAGGTGTTCAGTTCACAGATACCAATCCGTAATTTGATCCACAAGTTCAAATAGTTTTGAAAGAATATTCTGCTACAATATTTGCTTTACTTGGTCCGCCTAATTTTTTTTTAATGCTTCTCTTAATTAGAAGCAGATCTTCTAAACTGTAACTCAACATCTTGCTGATCGTAGGTAGGTGAGATAATGTGGAAGGTTACATGAAGTAAACATTGCATTGCACAAACTGAAGACAAGTGAATATAATGGCTGTGCTAACTCGGTGTGTAAGAGCAAATAAAATAAGCAGACTAGTTAGTCAACCTGCATCTCAGAACAAATGGTTTTGGCTAAGGCCTGATTTTACACAGCCATTTTCTCTACCATCTTTATTAAATGGCAGTGAGTTGCTCCTACTTATTTATAGCTTTTATCTGTCCCAGAAACCCTGCTTGTAACTGAAGTCTAGTTTTTGGATGTATCCTGAGCTTCCTTTCCTCTGTCTTTGTTCTTTAGGAAAAGGTAGATTTAACTGAATTTTGAGAAAGATACCATGGGAATTAGCAGTGTTTAAATAATCCCCAAATTTGGGAGGAATCAGATTGCTGTTGATAAAAGGGACAGTTATGAGTCCAGAAACGTGGAAAGGCCAGATTCTAACTGAAATGTGTTTTCCTCTTACACCCTTACTTTTCCCTTCTCCCTCTCCTTGTTCACTAGTGAATTTTCTTTTAATATTAATAACAGTGAAATTAGTCTCCAAGTTGTTTCATGCTTAGGCCTGTGCAAAGCCTGTGAACCACTTATGACCCACTGAGGGACACAAGTAGTAGAACCATAGAATATTGCAAGGTGGAAGGGACCCATAATGATCACGTGGAATAGTTCTCCAACTTCCAAATAAGTCATTGCTGCATTTTTGTTAGCAGAATTATTTCCCTTCTTGCTTTAGCTTCCTTGGTTACAGGTACTATATTAGCTATCAAAAAGCAGTTATTAGGTTGCACATACAATATTCAGGAGGTTGCATGTGCATTTCAGGTGAGCCTTTTCCATGTCATAAAGTCAAGATTTGTTTTTCTTAATGTGATTATACCTAAAGATTGAGAGTAATAGTTTCATGTTAAATTTGGAAGGTAATTTATATTTTGATAACTAAATTTAAACTGTGTTCATTTTCCTCTCCATAGTCTTATGTACTTCTTGGTCTCGTAATCGTTTTTCCGCATCTCACTCGATTCATTACATGGTGTAAAACCAAGATTGTTGGTGAGTAACAATATTCATAGGAGTATGTTCAGATATGATATTAGGTTATCAACATGTCCAAACAGCCTGTAATGAAGTAATTTTAGTTCTACTTCCATTTTCGGCCTTGAACATAGTGATTTGGGGGTTTATTGCTGTGCTTCCAAACAGTTTCTCCCTCACTCCCTGCTTTCCCTTAATTTGTGACTAGTTTTGTGTAAGGCACAACTCACTCAAAGATAATTTCTGAGTGCAAAACCTCTCTGGTTTGTCCTGAATGTGCACGTGCATGCACACACACACAAGTACATGAATGATGGCTGTTGGCCATCTATCCCTTTTTCCTCCTAAAAAGAGAGCGTGGGGATTGAAGAATATAGGAAGGAAGTTTTATGCTTGTATCACTTTCTTCTCAGCAATACTGTATGGCTCCACATTTTCAAACTGGCAAGCAGAGCCACCTATAAATCAAACTTTTTCAGGGTAATTAACTGTTTAGGGTGTTACGTCTCATTAACTGCTGTGGTTTAAAGGTGTGCCTTCACACATGGCTTAAGTCAGCCTAAATCCATGCTTCCTTCCCTCATGCTCCTTCCTTATGTTCTTTCTGCCCCCTTATGTCAGCACTAACAATTGCACAACCACACCAACAGCCAGAGCTACTCTTAAACTCTGCTGAGAAGGAGGTTGCCTGTGCCAAAATAAAGAAGAAGGTGGCATCGTGCAACCTGCTCAGCCAAAAGGTGGAGTGTCCCTCTTTGAGAGCAACATAAACTGACCACAAAAACACTGAACATATCATATCTTTGGAATTGGTACTCCTGAGGTGAGTCAGAAGAATAACATGTTTGTGTCTCTGCTGCTGCTGTTCAGCCCAGTATAAGTCCATTTGTGTACACTGCAAATGGGAACATACTTTTGAATCCCCCCATCTGGCAGCAATAATAGACAGGGAGGCAGAAATGCTCTGAAACGGCTAAAGCCAGACTCTTCGAGCCAGAGAATAAACACATACACATGTTGCCTGTGCCTACCGCATTGGGGGCACTGCAGCTGGCAGTCAGGTCATGTCTGAGTTCGGCTCAGATGGCTGACATAAATTACTGCTTTATTGACTGAGTTGTGATTACACTTGCTTTTCATTCGGTTCCCCTCCCGTTACTTCCTCAGGAAGCTGTAAGGTTTTTCTTCATCCAATCTATACTCCTGAACTGGTACAGCTTGGCTAGCTGGGCAGCTCAGTGTCCAGTGTCAGGAATGTGTTTGACATCTGTAGAAGCTCCAGAGCCCCACCTTTTGACCAAAGACTGGATTTATTTTAAAGCAGGCCAGTTGATGTCCCAGTGCAGCCCCCGTGATCCAGTGAGTTTTTTCTCCCATGCAGTGTAAGTCCTCCATACTGTCTTAGAGGACCTACAACTATTAGGGCTTCCCTGACAGGCACAGCATCTGATTTGTTTAGCTCAAATGTTTTGTTCAATTACAGCTCTGAGTCATTATTCACTTGGTGGAAATGGTCTGCCATACACTTTAAAGGACAGGGCTTTTTTGTCCCTGAAGCACTTGTTGTCCTGAAAGCAACATGAACTTCAGGGAGAGGCACAGCTGCCGAAAAAAAGTGGAGTGACTGACCTGTGTGGATGAACGGCACCCTTCTTTCTACAGAAAGATTTTGGCAGGTGGGGAGAAAGAAAGGGAGGTCACAGTAGGTTATGTAACTACCTGGGTTTATACTGCCTGATTTTGTCTTTCATTAGTAAACATCTGGATTTGTTTCCAGGTCAGAGAGATGCAGAGGAGGAACACCATAGCTTAGAAACCTTCACTTTTTACCTCAGTGAGCCTCTGAGTAAGGAACGGGTAGAAGCATTCAGTGATGGAGTCTATGCTATTGTCGCAACCCTGCTCATTTTGGATATATGGTAAGGCTTTGTGTTGCCTCTTACGCTTTCTGTTATTAAATGTATCATTAACTTTTGTCTATATGTAATATTTGAGGAAATACAATTAACCAAAGTTTAGAAGTCTTTGACTTCTAAAACCTGCAGTGGTTACTTCAAGTATGATTTTCTGGAAAGATACAGGACACAAACACAACATATTTCTAGTGCCTGCATTTCAGCAGTAGTGATCATCAGTCTATTTAGTGTATGTTGGGGTAGGGAGTCTTAAAGAACAAAGCTTCTTTTTTACTTAAGTCATGTTTTCAGATAAAAGGCTTTTATCAACAAAGCTGTTTATTCACTGTGGCAACTTTATTACATTAACCTAAGGGAATGCCAACTTACTTTCAGATTCCCTTTCAGATGTAATTTATTCGCAGAGCTGTTATTTGAAATGCTGGTTTTAATTTACAAATTAGAGAAGTACAGAGTGGATGCTTGTTGTTCCCTACTTGCTCAGAGTAAAGCAACATAGTTCAGTGTTGCTCCAGGTGCAAAGTAATTTTTTTTTCTCCACAGTGAAGACAACGTCCCTGATCCCAGGGAAGTTGAGGAGAAGTTCCATGGCAGCCTTCTTGAAGCTTTAAGTGAATATGGGCCAAACTACCTTGCCTACTTTGGCTCATTTGTGACAATTGGTCTCCTGTGGTTTGTCCATCACTCACTTTTCCTTTATGTAACAAAAGCTACACGATTAATGGGACTGTTTAACATACTTTCACTGGCTTTCATTGGTGGGCTTCCACTAGCTTACCAGCTTACCAGTGAATTTGCAGAGAAGTCTCACAATGAAATAGAAGCCATCCAGGTCAGCTGTGTTATCACTTTCTTTGCCAGCATATTTCAGTTTGCAATATGGACTACAGCCCTCCTCCATGAAAGGGAAACATTGCATCCTTTTGCTAGGTACGGTGGCAAGGAGCATGCCTTCATGTTTGCCAAGCTGGCTCTCTACCCTTGTGTAAGCCTTGGGGCCTTCTTTCTGACATGCTTGTTAAGTGAATTTAGCACAGCAATTTTCCATCTTATGCAGATTGTAATTCCATTTGCTTTTCTTGCCTTGCGGATTTTTGTTAGAATTTCTTTAACTGTCATAAAGTTTGTGATGTCTCTCTCCAGACGGAAGGTTATATTGTTAGAAGAAGAGGAGGCATGTTTGTCTCCTACTGAAACACTGTCCTAAGTTTCCGTGCAGTGCATGTGAACTTACAAGATGAACTTCAGTTCTTCTAATGTTATCTTCATGTGTGGATTATATTGATCTAAACCAAAGCCTGCATTGTCCGTAACTGGGGCATATTTAAGTTTTAGCTGGTCATGCTTGAGACCCTTTCATCACAACATGTTACTGAAAAAATTGGGTAAATAGGGGATACAAAGAAAAGCATGTTCCCCTTCCTTTAGAGTTACCCTTTTGGAAAATATGCTGCTTGACATGTAACTGCAGTGATGATTGATTAAGAAGTGCACAAACAGATGCCCAGCAAAATGCCCTTTTGTGTGGCAGTCGTTATTGCAGCCAAACACAGGTATAGAAGCTGGTTGTGCTGCTGGAAGACAGGGAGTGAGGCTTGGAAGACAGGGAGACCTCTGGATTTCTGGATGGTGCATCATGGTAGAGCATTTGTGCATACAAGTTGCTGGTCTTCTCAACACTTTTTTTTTTTTTTTATAATGATTACAATGTCTCTTCTGCATAGTCACAAACTTGTGATAGCATTTTGAAAACTACTTGTATTTGAGTGGCTCTGAGCATGAGTTTGGATGGGAGTTGCAATTGTTACCCATGTGCAATCTCTCAGGCTACCTGAACGTTAAGTTCTTCAGGCCTTTTATAAAGGACGTATTTAACATATACAGGTCCTTTTAAAAAAGGATGTATTTAACAAATGAGGATTCATGTGGCTATATATGTGAGGTTTGAACTAGCTTTGGTATCTCCCAGGGAAGAGATTCAAAGAGCTGGGGGACTAGAAGAGAGTTTGTTTTCAGTTCTGGAACAGCTGCTCATCTGATATGAAAGGTTTGGATTTCTCAGGCTTTTTGCATCTTGAAAGGGACATCCTTCTGTTACTCTGAAGGCATGATACTGTATTCAGAGAGACCTTCCTGCCACGTGTAAGAGTTCCCCATCAGATAAGGGAGTTGAGTTTTTCCCTAAGCAGAAGCTAACCAAGGGATCCCACAGATCTCTTTTGAGTCTCAGCAAGACAGCAAGAAACTAACCCTCTAGAAGTTCCAGTCCATGGCATGTTGAATTTTTTTACGCTTACGTGCAATTTGATAAGGAGTGGGCAAAGTCATCTAGCCTCTGGCTGCCCTGGAAGCCTTTACATTTCTTTTTGGCAGAGCCATTAGTTTGTATCTTGAACTGTCTTAGTGCCTGATAACTGTAATGCCATATTTAAAGGCATTTAAGGGATTTTGTTGTTCCTCTTAAAAAGAATTCAAGAATACTGTGGCAAATGCCTGGAGTAATTGTTAGTGAAAACAAATGCAGATAGCTCGTTTCAGTTGAGATTAGTCTTGAATGCACTTGTGCTTTTGGTTTGAAGCACTTCAGTACCAATAGGTTATTGTTAGTATTACCTACTTCCTGTGAGAGAGTATGTTCAGATATTCAAGGGTTTTTATACCTGGTTGAGGTTAAATGACTTGTAGTAGGATTCTGCATTGTCTTGTGTACCGCAGGGTCTTTCTTAATAAAAGCACTTTTGGTTCTACATGTTTTTGTTTCTAATGTGCAGTGGGCACATAATCAGTGAATATGTGTATTTGTAATAAATTTAAATTGGTGAAAAAACAAAGCTTCTAGCCCTTTATTTCTGCTCTGCAGGTGAAAGGTAAATCTGATGTCCACTATTAAAATTATGCTGGACATTTTTTTTTCCCCTTCAAAATCATCAAGATCCCTTCTAACTTCAACCATTCTGTGATTTTGAGTGAAACACCCAAAAGCTTTTAATGTGATGTAAAGAAATGTTGATTCTACTTTTGTTGGTACCTGAAGAAGATGGGATCTGAAACTAAATCTGACAAAGGAGTTTCATTCCAGTGTTTACAGGAATGCTTTTAATAGCAGTGAATTGCTATGTATAAATAGCCAATACAGTTCCTTGTAGTAAGTAATGCATTTTTCCTTTTTTTTTTTTTAACCCACTTGCAAATAAGTAATTTCTTTTGCAGAAAGAACAATTTTATTTTTTTTTTTTTGCTTCTAGTCAAGATACCATTATTGAAACCAAATTTCATAGTGTCTCGGAACCCAAACTTGAGGGCAAACTTGACCTGAGGTTTTGTATAAACAGTTGGCTTATGATCATTCCAATAGAATGATCATAATGTTTTGGGTTGGAAGGGACCCCTAGAGGTCATCTAGTCCAACCCCCCTGCAGTGAGCAGGGACACCGCTAACTAGATCAGGTTGCTCAGAGCCCTGTCCAACCTGGCCTTGAATGTTTCCAGAGATGGGGCCTCCACTGCCTCTCTGGGCAACCCGTTCCAGTGTTTCACCACCATCATGGTAAAGAATTTCTTCCTTACATCCAGTCTAAACCTACCCTGTTTTAGTTTAAAACCATTACCCCTTGTCCTGTCAAAGCTGGCCCTACTAAAAATATTTCCCCCATCTTCCCTATAGGCCTCCTTTACTGAAAGGCCACAGTCAAGTCTCCCCACAGCCTTCTCTTCTCCAGGCTGAACAAACAGAATTCTCTCAGCCTGTCCTCATAGGAGAGGTGCTCCAGCCCTCGGAATAGCTTTGGTTAAGTTCTGGAGAAACAAACTGCCTTTCAGAGCGAGCTATTAATCTGAATTGTGTGATTCTCACATAGAAAAAACATTCCCAAACCTAACTGTAACTAGAAGTTCTTTACAGAATTACTAATGACCACAGGTTTTTGTCTCTAACAAAATGAAAGTGAAACACAATGATTATAATAATCACAGAATGGATGAGGTGTTTGGAGCAAAAGTGGTATCCACCCAGCAGCAGCCTCTCATTTGTAACGCTCCTGAAGCGTCTCTCCAGAGTTCTTGCTACTGAAATTAAAAAAAAAAAAAAAAAAGAGATTTAAAAAAAAAGTGGTAGGTTACATTCATTCCATTCATGAAAGCACTTTCAGGTCTTACTGACACAGGACCTACACCACTCATTAAAAAAATGTCATGATACTACAAATGAACGGAATGCTGAGACTCTTCCAGCAGGCATCCAGGAGAGGAAAACATTTCAGACCTCTTTTAGTGCAAGAATTTCAACTACCGGTGGCTTGATTAGCAGAAAACAGCAGAGACAACTAGCTTTCAGGGAGTTTAATAACCATAGAATCATAGAATCGTTTAGGTTGAAAAAGACCTTTACGATCATCAGGTCCATTAACCTAACCCTGCCACCCCACCACTAAACCCTGTCCCTAAGCACCTCGTCTGCCCGGCTTTTAAATCCCTCCAGGGACGGGGACTCGATCCCTTCCCTGGGCAGCCCCTTCCGGAGCCTGACAGCCCTTTCCGTGAGAAAATTTCTCCTGCTGTCCAACCTAAACCCACCCTGGCGCAACCTGAGGCCACCGCTTGTCACCTGGGCGAAGAGGCCGACGGGCGCCTCGCTGCAGCCCCTCCTGTCAGGCAGGTGTGGCGGGCGGCGAGGTCGCACACCCTCACCCTTCC